AAATTTAGAATTTTGCCATGATTTGTGATTTTTTATAAAAATTTATATATTTGGTTTATTTTAATTAAAGAATATTTGATTAAATTTGGATTATCGTTTATTTGTGTAATATTTATTAAAAGATTAATTTATTTGTTATACAAATAATAAATAATAAAAAAAAAAAGATTTTAAGAATTTCGAAGATATAATTAAAAAAGATGGTGATTTGCAACATGACGTATTTCATATCCAAAATGATTGGAACATTTTGAACACATGATTTTTATCTTAAGAACGGGCTTTTCTTTATGTTTTTTGTAATTAAAACATAATTTACATATTTCGTAATATATTTTTTTCTCATGATTCCATTCTGGTTTATTTCTTTTACATAAATTACATAATTTTCTATTCCCACAAGTTTGACAATTATTAAAATATTTCTTTGTCTTCCAATCCCAATTTACTTTGTTTTTGTTACATTTAAAACACCAAGGCGCCCGTTCTTTTATTAAATTTTCTTGGCATGTTTTACAATTACGATATTTTTTTTGTTTAAGATTTCCACAATTGCAAACATCTTCAGATTCAAAAAGAGTGATATGTTCTTCTCCTGTGAAATACCACAATTCGTTGTTGAGAGTTGTGTTGATATTTTCTGGCAATTCTTGACCTTGAAGTACACGTTCGATTTCTTCGAGATGGTAAAAATTTCTTGGTATTTCAAATATACGTTCGTTTTGAAATACATCCTTGATCAAATGGGAGAAGAAAGAATTTGGGAATTTTTTTAATAGAATATCAATATTTGTTGATATTTTTTTTCGTTCAGTTCCAACGATGAATTCTACACGTTCTATACATTTTTTACAATATTTTTCGTATTCGGGATATTTGATAACATCACATCTATTTAAAAAACAAATTTGGCAAAGAGGACTGTTCCATTCAATATCAAAATCGTCCATTTTTTTGGATGTTCAATATGAGTCATTTTGTTGACTTTATGATCGACCAATTATTAATTTAAAATCAAATATTATTAAAAGCGAATTAAGAATCTAAGAATTTTTTGTAGATTATTTACTAAAACAAAATTAAAAATTTTTTAAGTAGTATCACACAACATTTTACTGATAAAACATATATGGAAATTCTTTATTATGTGAACTTGTTTCGAATTTGGATTTTTGATTGATAAGCTTAATTATCTAATCTCATTATTTTGTATCATTCAAAAGATATTTGTAAAATTTACAAGTTTTTGTATTTGTTTCTTTGAAA